CTTCCATTATGCCATCTTTGAGGAGCTTATCTTTTACCATGAGGAGCCTCGATATGAGATATCCAAGTGCCTCTTCCGCGCTAGGATGACTGAGGGGACACCGGTTCAGAACCATGTCCTAAAGATGATTGAGTGGATAGAGAAACTCACAAGTCTAGGAATGGTCCTAGAGGATAACTTGTGTGTGGACATTGTGCTTCAGTCTCTACTAGATTCATTTTCACAGTTCATAATGAATTTTAATATGAATAAGCTTGAGGTGACTCTCCCAGAGCTCCTCAATATGTTGAGGGAGGCAGAGAGTACTATTAAGAAAGAGAAGCCAGTTCTCTACACTGGTGAGACCAGAAAGAAAAGGAAAGCAGAAAGGTCCCTTAAGAATATGAAAGACAAGCAAAGGCTCTAGCCTATGAGGCTCTGAATCCCTCCTATTTATAGAGGTCCCATGTCAAACCCTAATGGGTCCTCCCCTAGTGGGTATTGGATCTGCATCTAATAAGACAAGGGCTTCATCGGATATCTCATATTCGAACCTCTACTCATCGCAATGCCTACCATATGTGTGTGACCCTCTAGGCCCAATATCGAGCTGGCCGTGAGTCATACCTGTCAACGTGATTAGCTTACAGGGCACCTATGACTAACGACGAATTAGTCTCATTATCATGATTTCGTTATGATCCAATTCCCATTATACAAATATAAGGATACCACAATATATATTAATTAAATAATATAAAGTGAGAAAATACCATCATAATAATAATAAAGAAGATTATGTAGCGTATCACACATGTCATCACTCACGTGATTAGCTTGCAAGACATCTATAACTAGCACGAAGTGCGTAGCTCCATTGGCGGAGTTATTGAAAAAGGAACAATCTTGACGATAATCAGATAAATGTAAAGCGGCATTGCAAAACCTAAAGACTATTATGTTGGAAGAATCGATACTCAAATTGTTGGACTATGGGAGGCCTTTCAAAATCTGAACAAATGCTTCAAACTTTACTATTAGGGGAGTACTTATGCAGGAGGGTTATCTAGTGGCTTACAAGAGCCGCAAACACCTTGTACTTCATTTCAAGCTTATTAGTAATAGGGGGACTCAGATCGATATTCGTGGTGGTCGATCAGTTTTCAAAATATGCAATATTAATTGTTGCACCCCTATACTACTCAGTGGAGAAAGCAACCAAGTTAATGATAAAAAATGTAGTGAAGTATTGGGGAGTCCCGCACAATATCATCAGTGATCAAGACGTGTGGTTCTTGGGATGATTCTAGATCGAGCTCTTCAAATTACTAGGATCTAAGTTATACTTCTCTATAAGCCTCCACCTCCAAACAGATGGCTAAATTGAAAGAATAAATTTGCTTCTTATGCAATATTTTCAGCATTACGGGAGTACCAACTAATGCGATTAGATGAAGCAGTTGGATATAGCCTGATTCTCCTACAACTTACAACGAAGCTTTACATCTAATAAGAGCCCCTTCAAGATCATTATGAGATAGTAGCCATCAACTTCTCACGTTGGTGATTGGTCAGTATTTTACTTTGCAAAGGAATGACATCGAAATACAGATATTGCCTAGGTTTACTTGGAGAAGGCGATAAAAAATATAAAGAGTGGGCAAATTTAGGAAGGCGACCACAGGAGTTTAAAGTCGATGAATTAGTATTAATAAAGCTCCAACCAGCATTACTTTAGTTATTTAGGTATAAAGTGCATAAGGGACTTGTGCATAAATATAAAAGATCCTTTCCAATTATTAGCAGGGTATACAATGCCTCTTATAAGTTATAATTATCAACATAACTCAAAATTCATAATGTTTTTCATGCAAGTAACTTGAAAGCCTACCACTTAGATTCGTAAGATGCATCCCTAAGCATTCTAACTCTGCTACCCTCCACTAAAGTCTCATACGAAAAGTGAGTGGAAATTATTTTAGTTGCTCGTAAGACAAAGCTACCCAACAAAGCAGAGTTGATCGAGTACTTAATGAAATAGTGAAAGCTTCCTCGAACAAAAGCTAGCTAGGAGCCTAAAGATGTCTTACAATATAAAGAAGCAATAATCAAAGCTTACTAGCAAGCGTCGACGAGGGCGTCGATAGTTTAAGTGAGGGAGAATGTCACAGACAATTGTGATGCACCCACAATAACTTCATCAATAGATCGTTTGTTACTTTTATTTGCTTGTACATATGTTTGGCAGTGTGTTTTACCTTATTTTTATATGTTTTTCTTGAAAACGGTAAGCAGTAATAGTTTGCAAGGCTGCAAAATGACTGCTCACTATAATGGACAAAAAACTATCCCAAGATGTCTCATTTTTCATGTGTCATGATATGTTTTCTGTAAGCTGCAATGTGAAAAAAAATGTTAGCTATCATAGCACTATAGAACCCCTTGGGTGGCTTCTAGCTCTATAGGGGTTTGGGGTAGTGTTAGATATTGATTGAATTCAAAAGTTCACACGTTAAGCCTACGAGAACTTGCTAACACGCTCGACACTTGGTGAGCAGTCGTTTGCGGATTTGTGACTATTCGTTTCGCATTCTAAAGTCATTGTTTTCTCCTTCCTCTCTTTTCTTTGTTGCATATTAAGTGTTTGTTGAATTGTTTGTAAAACTGCTCTTTTCATGAGATGTCAGGGCTTATTCGTTGCTTGCTTTCAAACTAATAAATTTATTTTTTATAGGTTTTTCGGGACTTGAACGAGTTTGCAATTAGGCTGACCCTTTACGGACAGATAACGCAATCGTGTTTCATGACTTAAGCAATTCTAACTAAGTTTATGATAGGACGATGCCTAGAGTAATTGATCATGACTTTCTGTTTCCCTTTATCGAGGTTGATAATAGGGACGATAGGATGAAAGTGGGGACTTTGGACACCTCACAAAGGTGGGCAAGAGACGTAGGGAGGAGGTGATGAGGTGAAGGTGGTGATTGACAAGGCAGAGAATATAGAAAATCTCATCCTTAGAAAATAAAAAACGATATACAGGAATAAACTAAAAAAGCAACATTAAGAAAAAAAAAAGGACTCTTTTTATAGATCAGAATAGCAGGAAAAAATCTGTGTAATTGATTCCAAGTAATGGAAACTTTATTCCTCGCGTGAACACGACAGCAACTCGATCCTTTTTTTAGAAAAGTAAAATTAATAGCAACTCGATCTTCAATCACACAAGGAAGCAGTGTCGAAGCAGCCTACTTCTCGAGACTTGCGCGGTAGGTTTCATAAAGGTTTAACGCACCAACATATTCTTATTGACCTGTGGTATCAATCTGGAGCTGTTCTTTACCGCTTTCCTGTTCATTCTTTCCCTGTCCAGTGAATGTTGAGGCAGTTCCAGAAACGTTGGTGGAAAACGAGGAAGGACCCAGACTCAGTTTCGATGAAGGATCGGTGCTCGTAGACATCATCATTGACTCCAACCCAAACAATGAAAGGGGAAGACTTCCATTCCTTCCACCAACCACCGAGGCGTCTCCGACCTTGGAAAGTCAGCGTTCAACACTCCAAACTTTGACCCTTCTATTTGGAAAATTAATGTTAAGTTTCGCCACCAAACCCCTTCACTTTCTCTCTACTTTCGTGGTAGTGTAAGCATGTTGATCAAAGTTTTGACGTATTATTTTCTTTTGACTACCACAACGATCACGTAAATTTCTCCCTAGCATTCAGATTGAAGTCAACATGGAGCGTCAATTTCATTTATATTTTAATTGCACCCAAAATGGAATTAATTGCACAACATGTTACACATGTATGTGCGGATCAAGATTATTTATTAGATGATTTTTTAGAAAATATTCATATTTAATTTTTAATCAGTATTTTAAATTTATTTATTTTTAAACAGTACTTATAATTAAAATGATAAACAGTGTAATAATATGTCGCTCTCCTATTTATTTAGAGAAAAAATATATATATATATATAATATGTTAGAAATCAACGAAGCCAATTTGTGTTTCTAAATCATTATAATAAAAACACAATAAAACTAATGCGGAAACGAAATAGCGTACCTCCAGCCATTGTCACAAAGAATTTCTATAGAGGTTTCTTCTTGAATTTTGGTACTTCTCGGCTCAGAAGTCTCACTTTAGATGGTGTAGGAAAGCCTTTCGCTTCAAAGAGATGATTGAGCTCAAGAACCAAAATCCTTATATATATAGATGTTCTCCCATCAAAAACATTTATTATCACTAAATCATAACATTCAAGAATTAATTCAGATTTGTAACGTTTGAACCATAATGAAGAACTTTAATGATATTAAATATTTAATTTAATAATAACGGTTTAATATTTAAAGAATAAAAAACTGAAATCATTTAAACCATAATTAATGAAGAAATTAATGATAATGAATTATGAATCTTAATGATAACAGTTATATATTATTATTAAATTAGATATTTAATAATAACGGTTACAATATATATATATATATATATATATATATATATATATATATATATATATATATATATATATATATATATATATATATTCATGACGAATATAGTTAGGTGCAGGAGCACAAGTCTACGATTTGACTCCCAATGTGGAGGTTGGGTTAGGAGAGTGGGATGCGTACACATCTCATCACACCAACCCCTCCCTTGGGGTGTGGGTTCCTGACCTCCATGCGCTGCGATATGGAGAATCCCACCACTCTTAATGCATGGTTCGGTGAGACCCACCGGAATTGCAGAACCGGATTTGTTGTTTTTCGTGGTTTGCGATTGAAATGCTCTACTGAATCCGCTCCTCTCTCTTTGACGAGATAGAAAGAACGTAGAAGGAGAGCTGCCTTCGAAGCCCACCAACCCCCCAAAGCAAACCAGCGGCCTCCAAGTAGCAGTCAAGCATGCCATGGGATGATACGAGCTTGCGCGGTCAGCAATGCTCCGCGAGCAGCAACTACTCCTTTGGCACTCCCATCTACCACTCTCTGATCTCTCTATTTAAACCCCTACCCTCTTCTAATCTTACTCAAAGAGATCCAGTTCTACCTCAGCCTTCTCTCCTCGCCTATCTCTAATCCTTGACCTATTCACGTATTGAAATGGAGTTCGCACCGAAAGCTCAAGTCGTTGAGAACGGCGAGGCGTTCTGCCTAAAGGCGGACCCCTTGAACTGGATCAAGGCGGCGGAGTCGCTGACGGGGAGCCACCTCGACGAGGTGAAGCGCATGGTGGAGGAGTTCCGGAAGCCGCAGGTAAGGCTCGAGGGCGCGACCCTGACGATCTCCCAGGTGGCGGCCGTGGCCGCTGCCCGGTCGCCCGTGAGGGTGGAGCTGTCGGAGGAGGCGAGGGATGGCGTGCGGGCCAGCAGCGAGTGGGTGATGGAGAGCATGAACAAGGGGACCGACAGCTATGGCGTCACCACCGGCTTCGGCGCGACCTCGCACAGGAGGACCAAGCAAGGAGGTGCTCTTCAGAAGGAGCTCATTAGGTGAGGTTTCCTTTCTTCTTTGCTGCTGCTTGACTTCCTTCTTGCTTCTTGCTGATGTGTGACGTGTGGAATCTCCTCGCTGATGTGAGTCTACCTGCTACAGGTTCCTCAATGCCGGAATCTTCGGCTCCGGCCCGGAGTCGGGAAACACATTGCCTTCGTCCGCTGCGAAGGCGGCCATGCTCGTCCGGGTGAACACCCTCCTCCAGGGCTACTCCGGCATCCGGTTTGAGATCCTGGAAGCCATCGCCAGCCTGCTCAACAACGGCATCACCCCCTGCCTGCCGCTGCGGGGCACCATCACCGCCTCCGGTGATCTCGTCCCGCTGTCTTACATCGCAGGAATCCTGACTGGCCGGCCGAACGCAAAGGCCGTCGGCCCCGACGGCAAGGTCATAGGCGCGGCGGAGGCTTTCCGGCTCGCCGGCATCGCGGACGGTTTCTTTGAACTGCAGCCCAAGGAAGGACTGGCGCTGGTGAACGGCACCGCCGTGGGATCGGGCTTGGCCTCCATGGTGCTCTTCGAGGCCAACGTCCTGGCCGTCCTATCGGAGGTGCTGTCGGCCGTCTTCTGCGAGGTGATGCAGGGGAAGCCGGAGTTCACCGACCACCTCACGCACAAGCTGAAGCACCACCCGGGCCAGATCGAGGCGGCCGCCATCATGGAGCACATACTGGAGGGAAGCTCCTACATGAAGATGGCGCAGAAGCTGCACGAGCAGGACCCGCTCCAGAAGCCAAAGCAGGACCGCTACGCCCTGCGCACCTCCCCTCAGTGGCTCGGCCCGCAGATCGAGGTCATCCGCGCTTCCACCAAGTCCATCGAGCGCGAGATCAACTCCGTCAACGACAACCCGCTCATCGACGTGTCCCGGAGCAAGGCCCTCCACGGCGGCAACTTCCAGGGCACGCCCATCGGCGTCTCCATGGACAACACCCGCCTGGCCGTCGCCGCCATCGGGAAGCTCATGTTTGCGCAGTTCTCTGAGCTGGTCAATGACTTCTACAACAACGGCCTGCCCTCGAACCTCTCTGGGGGACGGAACCCGAGCCTGGACTACGGGTTCAAGGGCGCCGAGATCGCCATGGCGGCCTACTGCTCTGAACTCCAGTTCCTGGCCAACCCCGTTACCAACCACGTCCAGAGCGCCGAGCAGCACAACCAGGACGTGAACTCGCTGGGGCTCATCTCCGCGAGGAAGACGGCGGAGGCCGTCGACATACTCAAGCTCATGTCCACCACCTACTTGGTGGCGCTCTGCCAGGCCGTCGACCTCCGGCACCTGGAGGAGAACCTGAAGAGCGCTGTGAAGAGCACGGTGAGCCAGGTGGCGAAGCGGGTGCTCACCATGGGCGCCAACGGGGAACTCCACCCCGCCCGGTTCTGCGAGAAGGAGCTGATCAAGGTGGTGGACCGGGAGCACGTCTTCACCTACGTCGACGACCCCTGCAGCGCCACCTACCCGCTGATGCAGAAGTTGCGGCAGGTCCTCGTGGCGCACGCGCTCGAGAACGGCGACAAGGAGAAGGACGCCGGCAGCTCCATCTTCCAGAAGATCGCAACCTTCGAAGAAGAGCTGAAGGCGCAGCTGCCGAAAGAAGTGGAAGCGGCGAGGTCGGCCGTGGAGGGCGGGAAGGCGGCCATTCCGAACAGGATCGAGGAGTGCAGGTCTTACCCGCTTTACAGGTTGGTGAGGGAGGAGCTCAAGACGGGGTTCCTGACGGGCGAAAAGGTGACGTCGCCGGGCGAGGAGTTCGACAAGGTGTTCGACGCCATCTGCCAGGGGAAGGTGATCGACCCTCTCCTCGAGTGCTTGAAGGAATGGGACGGTGCTCCCATCCCCATCTGTTAGCAAGATTTAAGGCCATATCCTCCCTCTGCCGCCTGCCGCCTGCCGCCTTTGGATTGAATCTGTCATCCCATTGTTTCTTCCTTTCATGTCATAGATTTGTCTTATCGTGTGATCGGATCCATAATCTTAGACATTTCCATCTAATATAAATGGAATTGCTTCACAATAGTCATTGCCTTCCAATATTAATACCGATGAAGTCGCATTTTAAGAACCTTCTCAAGCTCTAATTCTTCCGAAGCAACCTCTGTGATGCGGGAGATGCAAGATTCAGACCCGGAAGAACGTAGTGGCAGCGGCGAGCTCGTCGAAATCCTCCGCCGTCAAGGCCCGGCGGAGCATCCGGAATAGGGTTTCACTGTTCGATTTGTGGCCGAGTTCGCGGCCGACCGCGAAGAACGAAGGGGGCACGCTTCGGCGACACGGGGAACCGCTGCATCTTGGAGCCGTCGCCGTCGGTGTTCTCATCATTATCCATGAGGCTGGGCCGCGCGAGTTGGAATAGCCACTCCATCGTCTCGCCGTTGGATTTGTGGCGGAGATCACGGCCGAGCTTAAGGGACACCGTTCGGTAGCCAGTCCTTGTCTTATCGACCATTGTTGCTGCTGCCTTCTCCACTGTGCATCCTGCCGGCGGCGATCTTGTGAGAAGCATCCATGTCGGATGGAGGAGAAGGGTGATTTACCTGATCCGGTACCTAATCACCAACTAAATGTTCATGGAGCTGAAGAGTTTGGAGCTCCTCCGCCGTGAAGGCATTGGGGAACACCCAGCTGAGTATCCAGCGCAACGTCTCACGGTCCGTTTTGTGACCGAGATCGCGGCCGAGCATGTAGAAGTGAGGCACTAACTGGGGCAAAAAGAGGAGACGCTACATCCCGCGGTCGACACCGCAAGTCGGCCGCGCGAACCGGAGTAGCCACTCCATAGTTTCGCTGTTGGATTTGTGGTCGAGATCACGGCTGAGCTTGAGGAACAGGACAACGCAGTACGCCGTCATTGGGACGCCGACGTTCGGCAACCAGTCCTCGTCCTGCTCGTCTCGGCCACCGTTACTGCTACCCTCTTCGTAGTCGGCGGCGGCGATCTCCGGGGAAGCATCCATGTGCAGTGGAGGAGAAGGCTCTTCACCGGCGTTGACGGCGATCTTGTCGGCAACACCTATGAGGACCGGAGGAGTAGGGTTTGCCGATCGAACTTTGTGTTCTTGGAAGCCTTTATATAGCTGGTGGGAGGCTGCCAGAACTCAGGATTTGATTTCTGATTTGGGGATTTCCCTCCACATTATGAATTTCTGAGATCATAATATAAAATCTTATCCATAGAACTTGCAGAGAAAAAAACTCTGAATAAAATTATAAATTTATCTTTTAAAAAAATATATTTATCTTATAAATGAACCATAATTGTAACTTTCTAGCTTTGTTGATTTATAAATTGTTAAAAAGATGATGTTGTTCACATTGGAGTAGTTCTAACCAAGGTAGGTAATACCCAATGATACCACCCGATACGGGCTGTACATATCGGTTCGACGGTATACCGGTACACGGACTGCCCGTAATCGGACGGAACGTTTAAAAGCGTCCAGTATCGGATGATACGGGGTAATCTCAGACGTTAACGATCGAAATTCCGACCGTTACACCCGATACAACTCGGTAACGGTTGAAATCGATCGTTACCGCACTATAATAGTGCTACAGTGCTCCAACGGTCAATTTGACCATTGGAGCCTTTTTCTCATAGTATTTAAACCTTTCTTCTTCTCTATTTCACTCCATTAAATTCTCATGCTTCTTAAACTATCTCAAACTCTTTTTTCTCTCATAAACTCTACAAAACAATGATTTGTGAATTCAATCGAGGCTAATTTGAGAATATTAAGAGAAAGAATTTTCTAATCAAAAGGTATGTATTCTCTTTCTTTAATTAGAGACTAATTAAGATCTTTAATATTATGATTATAGTGTTTCATGTATATTAAATATTAAAAATATTTATAATGCTACGATTAGTTATTTAATAATAATTTAATCAAAATTTATCCGATTTTATATCAATTCAATTTGTTTAATACTTATTAGGGTGTTTGCTATGTTTATAATATTGAGAGAAAAAATTAACTATGTTAATCATGTAATTAGTATATCTAATGATGATTTTATCATAATTTGAATCATAGTATCAAAATTATATATTTAATGTTTCTTTTATGTGTATGACATATATACGATGGTAAAATAGGTTTAATTAAATTTTATTAAAATTATTTAATATTACGATTAATCATTTTAATGATGATTTAATCAAAATTTATTTGATTTTATATCAATTTAATATATTTAATACCTATTTGTCATGTTTATAGTATTGAAAAAAATAATTAATGAAAAATTAACTATGTTAATCATATAATTAGTATATCTAATGATGATAATGAAAAACCCTATCATAACTTTTTTTTATTTTCAAGTATTATCAAAGGGTTTTACATCCTAAATTAGGTGTACCGCTTGGTATGTCATGGCTTATCGCTCGGTACACGATACGATACCGTATCGAGCTAACCTCGAAACACCGATACGATACCGTATCGAACTAACCTCGAAACACCGATACGATACGATATTACATACCGTGGTTCTAACACATGAAATAATGACATTCTTTGAAATATTGATGCAAAGATCAGAAGAAAAATTTAATATGCATTCAAAAAGTCGACAGACCTAAATTATATAATCACAGTGATTATCATCGTCATGAAAATAATCATGCTTGATATGCTTTCAATGACAGCATATCAAGTACCATCAGACTATTTCTCAACAATGTGATGCACATATAACATTAACATTTTCTTAAGCTAAATTGTTAACAATTAGCATGCATCAAGTTTTGTCTGAATTCACAAAAGCTCCACAATGGAGGCTGACTACAAAAGTTTGTATAAACTTGTACAAGAAAATATATATAAAAAAATAAATATCTTAGCATTGCTGTTTAGGGACTACAAACATTCTGACCAGAATGGTCAGCTGACTCCGGGATTAGACGGAGCCACGACAAAAAATTGATCGTGTTCTCCAATTCTATGATGGAATACAATAAAAGAGGCTGAGGTAAAATATTTACCAGCAGCAACCCCTCACAGCAAGGTTGCTACCTGTAAGATATCACTTCAGGCTCATGTCTTCGCTTCAGGCTCAACATATCTGAGGTTGTGTTAGTTACAGTGACAAACTAAAATATGCTTATCTACAAAATGATCAATCATCATCTGATATGCAAACTACATCCGAGTTAGAAGGGGGCACGTCGACAACACCACATGGCTCAACACAAGGCTGAGAGAATGCAGGAGCTGTCGATGTAGGTTTGGTTGCAAGCCAACTATCAAATGATGAAACCAAATCAGTAAACTGAGAGATAGACCGGTTAACACCTCCTATGGAGTTCCCAACACCCATGGGCAACTCAGAATAAAATGGGGAGGCATCCCGACAAACTGATACAGTGTTGGAAATGTGTGACTGTCCAAAATGGGGATCCGTGCATGGCTGTGCAGTTGGCATAGGCGCAACTTGTCCCATGGTGGCCGAAAGTACATCGGCATGGAGCTGCTGATGACTGGTCATGGATGTGTTAGCTCTAAATCGTTGGAGATGTGGAGCAGGCGCACGGGTTTCACTTCTGATTTGAAGGTTTGGCTGTGGGGGAACCATTGGGCATAAGTGAGCTCTAGCTGAATTACTTGGGTAGACTGAAGATGTCCAGCGGGCTGCCTGACCAGAAGGGATCAGTGGAGCTTGGAGTCTGACTGACGCAAGCGAGCCTGGGACCTGACCATAAGGGATCGGTGGAGCTTGGAGTCTGACTGACGCAAGCGAGCTTGGGACCTGACCATAAGGGATCGGTGGAGCTTGGAGTCTGACTGACGCAAGCGAGCTTGGGGCCTGACCATAAGGGATCAGTGGAGTTTGGAGTCTGACTGATGCAAGCGATCCTGGGGTCTGACTAGAAGGGATCATTGGAGTTTGGAGTCTGACTGATGCGAGCGAGGACGGGGCTGCAGCTGGTGGTGGGGTAGCTGGGAGTGGCATAGGCGTGGAAGTTGATGCTGACACAGATCTCTGGATAAACTGAGGTTGGGATGACTGAAGTAACTGCTGCAATGTTTGGTGACCTGGAATTCAAAGAGTAGAGTGGAAAAGAATGATATCAGTTTCTGCTCAACAATGACATAATGATCAACACAAATTAGCACATAAGTAAACAAGTATGAGCAAGAAAATATGTTCGAGCCTATGCTAGAGTAGAAGAAATGAGATGACAGCCTCAAGCTCTGAGAGAAAAAAGATCAACAGCAACAACAATAATAAAGCTATGTCCTTACTCAGTTAAACTAAGTATCTAAATCCTTATATATAGTTTCTAATAATTTTTTTTAGGTCTCCCTCCACCTAAGTTGCTAAGCAAGTCTCAGAAATCGAATAAAGAAATGTGGCTATAAACTAACAATTTGATTCTTGGTGGCTATCCTCCAATCAGTGGTAAAACAAACCAGTAAGCAGTGTCCCATTAACCTGTTCTTTCCCTAACTTCCACAGCAAACTCATGAAGTTACTTATTTGACCATGTTCAACCAATTGAAAAGGGAACCAATTTTGTCTGTATATAATTTGACTTCATCAAGTTAGATGCACATATTGAAAAACCCAATGGCAGCCACGATTCCAAGTACCAAGTTATTCGGCTAACTACATGGCTTTTGTTAGCAATCCTCCCACCTCCTGTAAAATACTCTACTAAATAATGTCCCATTGCATGTTCTTTCCTTAATCGACAGCAGAATCATGAAGATAGTTGATAGTCCAAATTCAATGCTATGAAAGGACCTATTGTATTTGTATATAGACTTAATGATGTTCAATGCACATGAAATACATATAATGATGGATCAACTGGAAAAGTAATGTTATGTGAATGGGTTGTGAATAATGGAATCATATCCACCTTTCAAACTAACTTATATTACTACTCTAGGTGGGAAAAACAAAATGTCATCATGCATTTGACATGCATGCACTTAATAAGTGGTCATATTACAAGAATGTGTTTTCATATATAAATGTACATACAAACATACATATAACATAAGACGGGCCTAAACATCGTTTGATTTTACATGGTTGTCCAATGAAGTCAATGATGATCTATCCAAGTCCTCCAAGCATATCATTAATTATGATATAGTTCAATTGAAAGAACTAGAATAATTGTTTAGGATTTTTGACATGAACCACTCACGACAACCCCCATTTCCTCCACCAAACATTTCATACATATGCCCACGAAAATTTGCATCTATAAACTGAGTTAAAACACTTTCTACAAGAATTTTAAACGCAAATAGTTTTATATATTGATAAATAATAGATATACGTGATTATTAAGAAGAAGGTAGAACTTTAAAAGCCATGAAAGTTAGATGTGATACACATATACATTAGCTGGACAAAAAAAGTTGAAAAGGACAAGAAGATGCTGCACTGTTTTCATCCATAAAACTTAAGTGCCAAGCTAATTTAAATTAGCTTTGTGTTCCATACCTCTAGAAGATGAAGTTCCTCCCTTATTTTCAATAAATTTGGCTCTAAATTCTTCAGCTAAAACCTGATTCATGGAAACTTTGTTGTAAATGGTCTCAAGAACCTCCTTGCTACAAAGAAACTCTGACTCTGCATCTTGAAGTAACATATCATACTTTCTCCTGACCTTCTCCAACTCTTGATCACACTCATATTTAAGACGCAATTTCTGTGAAAAGATGAAACAAGACACAACTATTAATAATAGTTGAGCATAAATTAACAGGCAAAATGACTCAGAAATAGGTGACAGAAAACAAACCCTATCATCATGCATCTTAGTAATTTTATCCTGATGCATCCGTATGCTAGTCAGTTCATTTTTCAATGGTTCAGGTTGAAGCCCTTGCGTTGGCATCAACTGTGCAAGTGGAAAGAGAGGGTAGTGAACTGATTCTGGCTGAGAAGTGCTTCTTGGCTCTTCAATGATGCTTCTTTGTGATCTTGTATCTGAATTTGGTAAAAATGAATGATCAACAAACTGGGTTACAAGAGGATGAGGATTAGCCTGCCCAACCAGTTCAGATGACAATACAATTGGTTCCTGCATTGGCATATCATTTTGATGGGA